GTCACATGCAGGAAATTTCATTTAATTTGTGGAAGTAAGAAATGGGTGATAAATGTGAAGTTGGTATTGGTGAACCATGCCTCAGCAACTTGATTTCATTTTGAAGTTAGAAAATTGTTTATTCCTGCAGAAATCCTATTGTCAAATAAAAGCATTTTCTGTGCAGTATCAGGTTTTCTAACCTGTCTTTTTAAAAAAAATCATTGTTGAGCAGTAACATTTCTTAGGAAAACTAATTTGACCTCTTCAAAGTTTGTCACGAACAATAAAAGATATTAGAAATGAAGTCACAGAGAGTGACCTACAAGCATCAATGAAATAGTGAGCAGTGGTCAGTCAATCCGCTTCATACTGGTGAGGGATGAATCCTCAACAAGACACTGGGGAAAACTACCTGCCTGCTTTTAAAACTGCAGATGGGCCTTCGATTTAATCATTTCATGTCATCTCATCTTTGGGCGTGATGTTGCACCAATCCTCAGCGTACATTAACAGGGTCAGGTCGTAAATTAGATGCAGCTAGGATTAGAACCTGTAATCCAGAATCCATTACTCAACTCCATTTCTTTGGTTTTAACCACATTGGTCAAAATGCCATTCACCCTGTGTCTCTCACGTGCGCACTCTCTTGCTTGCGTGTGCAGGCCCTGTGTGTGTCTCGTGCCCGCATTGGGTCTCCTTGCGCCCTATGACTCGCCATACCAGTGTACTAGATGCTACACTGTTTAATTCCTGTTGCAGTTGTCACTGTCTTGAAGTGAACATCAGACTCGAATCAAAGATTCTCAAACTTGCAATTCCTTCATTGTTGAAGACAATTCCTCTGAACAACAAAGACTTAATTAAGTAATTAACTACTTTTGCTTGTAGTGTATACATAAAGCCTGAAATGTCTCGCTGATAGAAAATGTTTCTTGGTGTTCTGCAGTATGTGAATCCTGCATTTGAAGTAATGATGGGTTACAAGCGAGAGGAATTGATAGGGAAGGAGCAAACAGAAGTGCCTAAAAGTGATAAAAACAAAGCTGATCTTCTAGACACAATCAACTCCTTTATTAAGAAAGGAAAGGTGAGCAATTGGCCTCTGTCTCCCTCTGCCTGTCTCTTTTTGGCTCTCGCTCTCGTGCTCACACTCGCGCTGTCTCTTGCTCAATGTCTGTCAATCATACAACAAATAAAAGACACTGATCCACATCATTGCACTCAAATTCCAGACTGAGCGAGAAAGGCCCATTACTTTGAAGAGGAGTTTCCTCAGATAATGAGGCAATGAGGCCTCCCCTGATCTCTGTCACACTGCATAACTAGGCCTCAATTTTATGAATTCTTATTTTAATCTGTTTGCACTTATGGTTTTTCAGGAGTGGCAAGGAATGTACTATGGCAGAAAACGAAATGGCGACAGTGTACAGCAAAATGTAAAAATAACTCCTGTCATAGGTCAAGGAGGGTGAGTGTAATGTCTTTTCCATCCAATCAAATGACCAAAATGTGAGCTGACATACAAGCTGTAACTTTAAGTTTTAAATCCTGTTTGATCCTAATTGTTGTGATTTTGTTTTCTCCTTTTACATACATCCTTGATTCCTGCACTTCAAGCCCATAATGCCTAATTGAAGAGTGAATGGTTTTCTGTTTCTTTTCCTCGTCTCTTTTTGGTTATTGCTTTTCAGCATTCTTCTTCAAGTTTTTATCCTATCCTCTCTTCCTCTTCTCCCCTCCGTACTCCTCTTCTCTTCCCTTCCCACCCTTCCCAAACAACTGAGTCTAACACAAAAGAGTTGTCCAAATCTCTGCCAGTGCTACCTGGGAAATGCCAAACTGAATGGAAGGAAGTGGTGCAGGCCCACATCTTGTTGTCTCAGGCCTCTAACTACCATCAGAGTTGGGTATGGATCAGCTCAGACCTGGTTGAGAACTAATTCCTCCTTGAACCTGAATATTGTGCGATGCTTGAGGTACCCATCAAATTGTTAGATCAGGAAATGGAAATCTGAAAATAAATTACCAAATGTTATGAGAAGGAATTTCATCAGAGTCACTTACTTGTAGTTCTGCCTAGTGTCTCATTTTATTTTACAAGATTTGGAAATATTGGGAAATAAGACAATGTGTTTTTATAACACATCAGCTGATTGGAAGCAAAAACAATTTTTAAAAAAAACTTCCAATTTTGACCTTCCATTTAAGGATTCAAAACTCCATTTTCTTTGACATGCTTTTTAAACAGAAATATTAAAGCTAATACTTATTCAAAACAAAGTTAAAGGCAGTTGAGGATTTAAACTCAAGCCCACATCAACTAACTAGAACAGACTGTGAAGATTGAGATGTGATGCCTTATTGAAGAATAAAGGGCGTGGTATAGGAATGGAGACTTGAGCCTGTTTGTTGTTCTGGCTTCTAACCACAGTCAGAATTGGGTCTGGATCAGATACAATTTGTAAAGATTTAGTAAAAGGTTAAGATGGTCATTTTAATGTTGGTTAAATGCAGAAGCAACAGTCTTCCAAGGGCCTATAATTGCATGCTCTCTCTTGCTTTACTCGGTTTACCTCTTGGTCTTGTTATCATTTAAAATATGCACTTCAGGAATTTATAAATATTCTAAAACCAGCTTCTTTCTCAATAGGAAAATTAGACACTATGTGTCTATTAAACGACCATGTAATGAAAACAAGGTATGTGTAAGAGATCTATGCTTAATACTTTTTTGTTTTCTCAATCATATCTGGAGCAATATTTTTAAGACATTCCTCTTAATTTTCCACAGAGTGACAAATCTCACTTATGTGATCGTGTTCAGGCTGAATCCCAAACAGGTACAGTGTTATTTGCTTTAAAACCATATGTGTATAAGAGTAGAAGCAGGCCATTTGAGTCTGATTCACCAATACCTGATCTAACAATCCTCAATTCCACTTCTGTGCCTTCTGAACATACGAAGGAACAAGAATCGGCCACCAAAAAAATCATGGCTGAAATGAAACAAAGAACAGCTGATACTAGAGTTCTGAAACAAAAACAAATAGCTGGAGAAACTCAGCAGATCTGGTAGCAAAGTTAACGTTTCAAGTCCATTGACTGTTCGTCAGAGCGGATAAGCCAATGAAGATTGATTGCCACAGATACTGCCAGACCTGTTGAAGATCATGGCTAACTTGTTTTTCATCTTAACTTTACTTTCCTGCATGTCCCCAATAACCTTTCATCCCTCAGGCAATCAAGAATCTATCTACCTTGGCCTTTTTTTTAAAAAAAAAAAATTTAAAACATTTGTATCCACAACCTTTCGAGTTCCAAAATCACTGAACCCTCGGAGGAAAAAAATGATGCTTCACCCGTCTTAATGTACTTCTCCTTAATTTTTAAACTGTGGCCCCAGTTCTAGTTTCTCCCACAAGAGGAAGCATCCTTTCTATATCCACCTGGTCAAGTTCCCTCAGGGTCTTGTACATTTCAATTAAGTCAACTCTGACTCATTGAAACCCCAAGGATATAGACCTAGCCTTTCTTCTGAAGGAAATCCTTTTATTCCAGGTGTTAGTCTGGTAAACTTTCTCTGAACTGTTTCCAGTGTGTTAACATCCTTCTGGAAGTATGGTGACCAGTACTGTACACAGTATTCCAGACACATAACTGAAGCATGAGTTCCCTGCTCTTTCATTCAATCCCTCGCAATAAAACATAACATTCTGTTAATTTTCCTGGTTACTTGCTGTGCCTGCATGCTACTATGATTCGTGCGCGAGCTCACCCAGATTTCTCTGCACCTTGGAAGGCTGCAACTTTTCTCCATTTAGATAGTGCGTTCTTTTTATGCTTTCTGGCAAAATGTTCAATTTTACATTTGCTAAAAGTGTGTACACAGTTTGCCGACTTTGTTATCAGTAATTTTAATTCCCTTACCTTTCGGCCCCTTCAAATTATTTAATAAATAATTTGAATGAGTTGAGGACCCAGCACCAATCCCAGCAGCGCACCACTTGTGATATCCTGCCAGCCTGAAAAAAATGCATTTATTCCTGCACTCTGCTTCCTATTAGCTAGCCGATCTTCTCTCCGTGCCAATATGTCACCCCCAATATTTTACCTTCCTCAGTAGCCTTCTGGAAATCTAAGTAGAAAACATCCACTGGTTCCCTTTTATCTACTGCATAAATTACTTCTTCAAAGAACTCCAATAAATTAGTTATATATGATTTCCCCTTGACAAAACCATGTTGGCACTGTCTGATTATCTTGAATTTTTCAGAGTGCCCTGTTATAACATCTTTAAAAATAGTTTGTAACATTTTCCCAGTAACAAATGTAAAGCTATTGGAAGTGTAGCTTCCTGCTTTCTGTCTCCCCGCCCCCCTCAACCCACTTTTTTGAATAAAGGTTTATATTGGCTATTTCTAATCTGAAGGGGTCTTCCCTGAAATTTAATGTATTTTGGAAAATTCAAACCAACACATCAACAATCTTTCTGTCTACTACTTTTTAAGACCCTGGAATGAAATCCGTCAGGACCTGGGAATTTATCAACCCGCATTCCCAGTAATTTACTCAGTACTACCTCCCTAGTAACTAACTTTATTGATGTCCTCCCTCCCTTTCAGTTCCTGATTCCCAGCTATTTCTGGCACACTACTTGTACCATCTCTAGTGAAGACTAACGCAAAGTCTCCATTCTGTTTGTCTACCGTCACTTTATCCTCTGTTGCTGATTCAGAGAATCCTAGAATCATAGAATCCCTACAGTGTGGAAACAGGCCCTTCAGCCCAACAAGTCCACACTGAACCTCAGAGCATCCCACCCAGACCCATTCCCTATAACCCACCTAATCTACACATCCCTGAACACTACAGGCAATTTTAGCATGGCCAATCCACCTAGCCTGCGCGTCTTTGGACTGTGGGAGGAAACCGGAGCACCCGGAGGAAACCCACGCAGACACTGGGAGAATGTGCAAACTCCACACAGGCAGTCGCCCGAGGCTGGAATTGAACCCAGGTCCCTGGCGCTGAGGCAGCAGTGCTAACCACTGAGCCACCGTGCTGCCCCCAAATGTGTCGGATTCCCTGACACATTTTCTATTGGATAGACATTTACTTTGTTGATTCTTTAAATAGTGGAAGAAATATTTCTGATCTGTTTTTATATTTTTGGCTCAATTTTTCTTACAATCTGATCTGTCTCTCCTTAAGGTTTTAGTAATTCTTTGTTATTTTTATGCTTTGTCCAATCATCTGACCTTCCACCTATCTTTGCACAATTATACTTTTTTTTTTCCTTTGTGCTTGATACTATCTTTGACATTTTTAGTTAAGCATGGATGGCATGTCTGTCCCTTAGAATATTTTTTCTCTAGTTGGACTTTTTCTATTCTGTTATCTGCAATATCCCCTTAAATGTTTGCCAATGCAGCTCTGATAACCTAATTCCTCTATCTCTTTCACATTCCTATGGAACCAGCAGTTTGATTTGAAAGAGGTGTTTCCTAAAGTGAGTAATATATATCTAATGTAAGGGTAACTCCTCAGTTAGAAACTGTGGTGGAAACAGTATCTGCACAGATTGTTGGGAGAGTTAGGAAAGCGAAAATTTTGGTTCTGTATTGTTCAGGAGTTCATTGCTTCCTTTACAGACGTCCACACTTGTAAACACAAAGACAGGAGGAAAAGTTCCGATGTCAGATCCAACACGTCACGAGGGAGTGATGGTATGTTAAGTGCTCCAAGGTCGCAATAACTTATGCTGTCAATTTGTCCCTTAAGTGTTTGTGAAACAGGTGACTTTGTAAAGTATTAATCAAAACCTCATATGGTAGTCCTAGGAGTTAAATTACAATGCTTGGTAAAAAGGTATAAATGCTTTTTAAGGCTTTATTAAAAGTAATACTTAACCTTGCATAAGTGCACTTTTTTTTTAAAAAGGGATAAATTGACCATTTGACCCAGCTCTGCCATTCAGTACAATCATGACTGATCAGCTACTTCAAGTTTCCTCACTATCTCCATATCTCTTGATTCTCTTAGTATCTAAAAATGTATTGACATCTTGTAACGACTCCATTTTTTTAGTTTTATTTATCATCGATTGTGGATTTAATTGGAAAAAAGAACTGTTATAAAATCAAAGATTGAAAGGAATTCCTGCCGTTGTAGTTACTTTTAGCTTTTAGTTAAGTAAGTTACTGAACCTCATTGGGAGTTGTGTTTACACTTTTCTGCTTTGCAAGATCGGACGGAGGTGAAAGAAGCTGACTTGGCACTAGGATAAATATGCAAAGTGAGATTCTGCCATCAGCAAGTAGCTGATGGGTTTGTGCATTTGTGACCAGTGGTAGATACCAAATATTACTATCCTGGTGACAATTGTCTGATGCCTACTCGGCTGGACAGCTTGTGTGAGGATGATGCAGAGACAGGTGGGTTCCAGACTGGAACAAGCAGGGTCTGTCACCAGAACTGAAGCAGAATCACTGGAGCCAAATTTTTAACTCTGCTTTCTCTCTATAGATGCTGCCAGACCAGCTGAGCTTTTCCATCAATTTTGATTTTTTGTTTATTTCACATCTCCAGTATTTGCAGTTTTTTGTTTCATTTGTTACATTTTCCCCTCATTCACTGTAAGCTCTTGCCCCTCACCAGTGACTGTGAAGGTGAGCAATTAATGTATAAATCTCCTGTGTCAATGACAAAGAACTGAGAATTTGGAAGGAAAGACTTGAGGGAACAGAGCCTTAAGAGAAAGGAACACTTTATCAAGCCTTCAGATTGATGCTGTTGAAATGTTTTCCCCCAGTATTTTTCTTCCCCCGCCCATAGCATCAATGTTTTTTTTGATTGTGTCTGCCTGTGTGTATGGATTTCAGCAAGGGAGTTTGAGTTTTAAATAGTAGAGTTGAATGTTGGTAGTTCATAGATGTTTTTGTGAGAATAGAATTTGCTTATTTGTAATAAATAGTTCCTGTTCAATGTTTTCGCTTAACCTAACTCCAACAGACAGAGACATTGGGGACTTTACAAAATTCATGATTTAGTCAACATATGTAGAGACCTGGCAGTAGCAGGACTTTAAGATTTAGTGCATTTTCCCCAGTGGGTTGTGACCCTCTATATTGAGTATACTTAACAACTGCACATTGGCGCTGTTCCACAAAAGATAGTGGAAGCAGTTTTGGCATATTGTTCATCAAGAATCCACCCACCACTGCCTTAAAGAGATGAAAGGCTTTCAGTGAGTAGGCAGAAATATGAAATAATCAGATCAGCTACAGTGTTGTTGAATGCAAATGATGTGGAAGTGCAGTTGTTGGACGGGGGTGGACCAATTTCAAAAATCACACAACACCAGGTAATAGTCCAACAAATTTGTTTGAAATTGCAAGCTTTCAGAGCGCATCCCCTTCGTCCGGTACAGAGAGGATAGCAGAGAGACCAAAGGATCATACAACTGGTGTGAGTGGAGTGAACAAATGGCTGACTGACTGTCTCCTGTTGAATCTTTAATCATTCATACATTCCTGCATTCTAGAAATTGCATAAGCAGGATATGGAGAACTGGAGAAAGGAGATGCAGGATTCATTTAAGATGCAAATTCCAAAATCTGTTTCAAGCCACTGCCCGAAGATAATTAAAGGTTTCAGCAGTGTCTGCCTAACTTTCCAAACTCCAAACAGATAGGAATATACAAAAGGTGACATCTCGGGTCAGACACTGAATTGTAGGTGTGAGGCCTTGTCCAGAATCTGTCTCAACTTTAACCTGCAATCAGGCTGATTTTGTTCTGAAAGCAGGAATTTAAAATGCCACACTGACTGTGACTACAAATAGTGTGTTTCTTGAACAAAATATTTGAACAAAGTATCTGCAAATAAAAAAACATCTTGGATGAAATGGTCCAGCCCATAGGTTTATATATGTGTGTGCGAGAGAGTGAGTGTGAGTGAGAGTGTGTGCCTGTGCGTGTGCTCAGTACCAACAACTGCCAATTTCCAGAAGCCATCCTACAGCTCATCCACTTCATCCTCAACCACAGTGTCTTTGCCTTTGATCACAAGTTCTTCATCCAGACACCCAGACAAGCCATGGGAACCAGATTTGCACCCCAACATGCCAACATTTTCATGCACAAATTTGAGCAAGACTTCTTTGCTGCACAGGACCTCTGACCAACGCTATACACCAGATACATTGACATTTTCTTCTTTAGGACTAATGGCAAGGAATCACTGAAACAACTATGTAGTATTATCAACAAGTTTCATCCCACCATTAGACTTACCATGGACTACTCTTCAGATTCAGATTCAGTTTCGTTCTTGGAGACCCACATCTCCATCAGGGACAGACACCTCAGTACCTACTGTACTGCAAGCCCATGGACAACCTCACGATACTGTACTTCTGTAGCTTCCACCCTAAACATATTAAAAAAGCCATCCCCTACGTACAAGCCCTGTGCATACACAGCATCTGCTCAGATGAGGAACGTGATGAACGCCTGAAGGTTTTGAAAGGTGCCCTCATAAGAATGGGATATGATGCTCAATGCATTGATTTCCAGTTCCGACGTGCTACAGCGAAAAACCGCAACAACCTCCTCAGAAAACAGACACAGGATATGACCGATAGTACCCTTCATTTTCCAGTGCTTCCCTGGAGCAGAGAAACTACGTCGTGTTCTTTGCAACCTTCAATATGTCATCGATGATGAGCATCTCTCCAAGTTCTTCCCAACACCTCCACTTCTCACCTTTAAGTAACCACCACACCTTAAACAGACCATTCTTCACAGCAAACTACCCAACCTTCAGGACAACATTGACCACAACATATCTCAACCCTGCCATGGCAACCTCTGCAAGATATGTCAGATCATCGACATGGACACTACCATCACACATGGGAACACCACCCACCACATACACGGCAGATACTCATGTGATTTGGCCAATGTTGCCTATTTCATACGATGTAGGCAAGGATGCCCCAAGGCATGGTATAGAGGCAAGACCATACAGATGCTACGCCAACGGATGAGTGGACAAAGCGCAACAATCGCCAGAGAAGGATGTTCCCTCCCAGTTGAGAATGACTTTATCTGTTAAGGGTATTCAGCCTCCGATCTTCCAAGGCAGATGTCAAGATACACAACAACGCAGAATCGCCAAGCAGAAACTGATAGCCAAGTTCCATAGCCATGAAGACGGTCTCAACTGTGATGTTGGGTTCGTGTCCTGCTAGAGGTAACACCATCGCACTTCTGTATCTGTAAAATCTTCCTTACTGTCCTGTTTTGACAGCATCATCTTAATAAATTGTTATGATCTCAACCTTAATTATTTGTACAATTTTGAATTACTTATTACACTCTCTCGCACACCTATATTAAACCTATGGGGGGAATCATTTCATCCAAGAGGTTTGTTTATTTGCAGATACATTCTATTTTGTTCAAGAAACACACTATTTGTAGTCCCAGTCAGTGTGGCATTTTATAAATTCCTGCTTTCAGAACAAAATCAGCCTGATTGCAGGTTAAAGTTGAGACAGATTCTGGACAAGGCCTCACACCTACAATTCAGTGTCTGACCCAAGATGTCACCTTTTGTATATTCCTATCTGTTTGGAGTTTGGAAAGTTAGGCAAACACTGCTGAAACCTTTAATTATCTTCGGGCAGTGGTTGAAACAGATTTTGGAATTTGCATCTTAAATGAATCCTGCATCTCCTTTCTCCAGTTCTCCATATCCTGCTTATGCAATTTCTAGAATGCAGGAATGTATGAATGATTAAAGATTCAACAGGAGACAGTCAGTCAGCCATTTGTTCACTCCACTCACACCAGTTGTATGATCATTTCGTCTCTCTGCCTATAAACTCTGTCTGTATGCTCTCCTCTCACTGCACCAGACAAACGGGCTGCGCTCTGAAAGCTTGTGACTTCAAACAAATCTGTTGGACTATCACCTGGTGTCGTGTGATTTTTGACTTTGGCGAAGCAAGCTCGGGGTTGAGTGACACTTCCATGTAAAAGTTCACATTAATGATTTGCAATCTTTTGAGTGAAGAAACTTCTTCTCAGCTCAATCCTGAATGGGCAACTCCTAAATTGGAGACTGCCCCAGTGTTTTAGATTCTACAGTCGGGACAAACATTTGTCCCAGTGCCTACACTATCAAACCCTTAAATGCTAATGAGATCACTTAATTCTTTAAACCCTTTTGGAATATAGATCTAATCTACTCAATCTCTCTTCAGGACCATCCCTTTTACTCAAGGAATCAGTCTTGAAGTTTCAATTGAAAATATTTAATAGTTAACTTTTTTTGAGTAACTACCTAACTGCAGCAGATCTGAGTTCCCTGGTTTAAATTGATACTTTGAGGTTTTGCCTAGGGGAATCTACAATTTCCCAGCAATTCCTTCAGAATCTGCTTTGCTGGGGATTCTATAGGGTCACCGTGTACAACTGCCAGTTATGCTGCAAAAGTGACTGTCTGGTCATTGATGTTCCACGTGGCCTTTTGCACATCCCTAATTGTACCGTCTAGCATTTTCCCTCCTTCTGACATCAACCTATTTTGTTTTCTCTGTCCCACCTTTTGAGATTAGCATGAGTGTGTTTGCTGATTTCCAGCCTACTTGGGGACTGTTCAAAAATCTAGAACATTTTGGTAGTCAAAAATCATTGTTTCCACTTATCTCTGCATCTACTTTTTATGCACTAGAATGCAGGCCATGCATTCTAGTGCATTTAGGGGAGGCAATGGCCTAGTGGCGTTATCACTAGACTGTTAATCCAGAGACCCAGATAATGTTCTGGGGACCTGGGTTTGATTCCTGCCACGGCAGATGGTGGAATTTGAATTCAATAAATAACTGGAATTAACAGTCTAATGATGACCGTAATCGATTGTCAATTATTGGAAAAACCCATCTAGTTCACTGATGTCCTTTAGGGAAGGAAACTGCCATCCTTACCTGGGCTGGCTTACATGTGACTCCAGACCCACAGCAATGTAGTTGACTCTTAACTGCCCTCTGGGCAATACATGCTGCCTAACCAGTGACACCCTCATCCCATAGATGAATAAAGAAAAAAAAATGCAATGTAGCCTATTTGTTGTCTATAACTCCATACTTTCTCCAATGCTATTTCTTTACTAACACTTCTATGTTCTTCATTTTCGTTTGGCTCTTTGTTCACCACTGTTTTCAGATTGTCATCTGCATTTCAAAATATTTGAGCCACATATTTTCTAGTTCTGCACCTCAACTTGGAAGTATGGACAAGCAGAGGGCAAACTGTCCTATAGTCTGCTTTGCTGCCCCATAGTTGCTGGTTATGCAGAAGAGTAAAGATTGTGGAAGATTGTGCAATCATAATAAATAATAGCATTTCACTATCTTTATGAATTTGTTTCTTAACTTGTTAAATCCACAGGTAGTTCCCAGCCCAGAAGATCCTCTATTGCTAGGATACATTCCATGACCATTGAAGCTCCCATTACCAAGGTAAAACTGAATGAGAATCTAATAGTGAAATAATACAGAACAATCTTCATTAGTTTACAGCTTTTGGTGGTATTTCCTGAACTAGTTGCAAAGCAGTGAAATCTGGTGGCTAATGTGTTTGCTCTGATATTGGCTTTGTCCCAATGGTAATCATCTCCCTTTGAGTCAGAAAGGGTTCAAGTCCCAGTCCAAGTTATATTAGATGCAAATTTGAGTTTGAAAGGCACATTGTTGAAACTTTTTGTCTTGCGCTCATCAGGCCAATTTGTAAGAATAGCCAATGAAAGGAGAATGCTGATGGTTGGAAAATGAACTCCAATTGGTAGAGGTATTGCCGTTGACAATACACAAATTAATAATGAATGGCGATTAACTGCCAGGCTTTGTTTTAAATTTTAAACCAGCAACCTGCAATAAGGTTAAGAGAAATCAAAGAAGAATACTGGACCTGAAATGTTAACTCTCCTTTCTCTCCACAGGTACTGCCAAACCTAAGTTGTTTTTCCAGCAATTTCTGATTTTGTTTCTGAGGTACCTTGCCTTCCCAAGATAAAAACTAAGACGATGCTGCCAAAAAGACTTTCTGTTGATCACTTGAATGAATAATATGGGATATTAATTTCAGTACCAATGTGATGCCAGGGTGTACAGGTCATACATATCAAAGACTGGTCGATTGTATCAAACAATGTATCCATTTGAATGTTCACAACAAGCAAGATATTGACAATACCAACCAGCCTGCATTTTCAAGCCTTGCAATATGCTGTTCAACTTTAATGTAGTTGTGCATTTAGACATCATTTGCTGAATAATCGTGTGTGAAGAATTATGCTGATAACCAGTTTAGATTGTCAGTTGACTGATAGTGTGGTGCACATGCACATCCTGAAAGATATATTTTATTAAAACACGCACCCTGTTATTTGCAGACAGAGAGGACATGTGGCTTTTTCAACTTAACACAGTAGTTGACAGCCATTTGCTGGTTTGTTTTTCTGGGCAATGCCCAGATCAATCAGTCAATCTGCCTAGTTTAAAATTTAAAGTTTGATGGCTAACATGCAGCCATCATTTATTTAATGCATTCTCTTTGGAGGCAACAGCTCTGCCAATTAGAATCTACTTTGCCAACCAGTTGGTACTCCCTTCTTGTGCTGTATAAATTGTTGGTTTTTCCCTTGAAGAATTATTCTTGTTATTCAAGTTCTATGCTGCCAAATAACAATAGGTGTAAATTGTTTGACAAGCTGATTGTAAATAGCTCAGACGTGAAGCATTTACTATACATTGTTAATTTGATCATTTTGTTAAACTTTAAGGTAATAAATATCATAAATGTTGCACAAGAGAGCAGCTCTGAGCCAGTGGCTGAAGCTTTGGATCGTGTGCTGGAAATTCTCCGAACGACAGAGCTATATTCTCCGCAGCTTGGAAGCAAGGAAGATGACCCACATGCTAGTGACCTAGTCGATGGGCTGATGTCTGTAAGTTCAGCTTGAGTCACATCCCTTGAATTCATTGCACAAAGCTGTGTGCAATGTTAGTAATTTTCTGAACATTTGTTACATGAGTTTGCACACGTGGGAAATTTGTGTGGAAAGGAATGCCATACATTGGAGCAGCACCTTTATACGGGGGATCTAAGAATCATTGAAGCCGTTTAACCCTTTGTTACTTCTGGCCTTATAATTTCTGCTCTTCGCTTAGTTGTGAGCTCTGTCTCAGTTGTTGACACGCTTGTGTCCAACTGAGATGGTTGTAGACCTATGGCCTGTTCCGTGGATTTGACCACAAGAATCTCGGCTGATGCTCCAATGCAGTAATGAGGGAGTGCTGCACTGTCAGATCTGCTGTTGTTTAAGGTGTTAAGCTGTATGTGTCCTTTGGGGACACAAGAAATCTCCATTACACAATTTTGATGGAGGACAAAGGTGTTACCACCTGCATCCTGGCTAAGTTTATCCCTGAACTAAACCATTTTAAAAAAATTACCTGATATTATATTTGTTAGTGGCATCAATCTGTGCTGAAATTGGCTGCCAAGATTCCTACAGTAGTGACTATGCCACAAAAGCTGTTTATTGACTGGAAAGTCCTTTTGGGGTATTTGAAATTGTTAGGTGCTCTTCTCTCTGGTACAAGTGTCTCTGTCTTTCTTTTTTGTGAACACTCGAGCATTGATAAGGGATTGTTAATTAACAAGAAGCAAACAGTAGGGATAAGCCAGTTGTTTTTTCATTGGCAAACTGTAACCTGTCACAGGCATCAGTGTAAAACCTCAACCATTTGTGATCTATATCAATGACTCTGATGTAGGACTGAATGCAGTCGCTAAATCTGTTGATGACACCAAGTAAGAAAGTGGCTGGACAAAAATTTGGCTAAGGGAGTATAAGATGGGAAACTGTGAACGGGTTAGCTTGGACAGGAAGAATAGAAGAACAGAATGTATTTTAAATGATGAGCGATTGTAGAATGCTACAGCACAGAGGAATTTGGGCACCCTGATACATGAATCAAAGGTTCATATGCAGTTACAAGAAGAAATTAGGAAAACAAATGGATTTGTTGACCTTTATTGCAAGGGGAATGGAATATAAAAGTAGGGAATATTCCCTAAAAACTGTTCTTTCAGCTTTGCTAAGACCACAGCTGAAATACTGTACAGTAGCAATATAATCATTGGAGACAATTCAGAGAAGGGTTCGGTAGGTTGATTGAAAACAGAAGTTGCTGGAAAAACTCAGCAGGTCTGGTAGCATCTGTGAAGGAAAAATCAGAGTTAACATTTCTGGCCTGGATACCCTTCCTCAAGGCTCTGAGGAAGGATCACCAGACCCAAAACGTTAACTCTGATTTTTTTTTTTTCTTCACAGATGCTGTCAGACCTGCTGAACTTTTCCAGCAACTTCTGTTTTTGTTCCTGATTAACAGTATCTGCAGTTCTTTCGGTTTTTAAATTAGGTTGATTCATGGGATGCCTTTATAAGGAAAGGTTGAGTAGATTGGGCCGATACTCCCTGGGGTTTAGAAGAATGAAAGGTGATCTTACTGAATCATATAGTTAAGGGGACTTCACAGAAACTGTTTCCCCTTGGAGTAATCTAGAGCTAGGAAGCACAGTTAATAAATCAAAGGTATCCCTTTAGACTCTGAGAATTTTTCATTCGGGTGGCCATTAGTCTATGGTATTCTCTTCCCAGAGTGCAGGGAAGACTTGATCGTTATCTAACTTGGTTTTGAATATATTCAGACAAGGGAATTGAGGCACGCAGGAAAGTGAAGTTGAAACCATGATCAGATCAGCTATGATCTTATTTTTTTTCATAGATCAAGCTCGAGAGATCAAATGGGCTATTCTTGTTCCTTTATGATCTTATTTTTATGAACCGAACAAGAATGGAATCTTTTTGGATACAATTGTAATAAGTTGTTGCTAACAGCACGATCACGCTAACCCTCCTCTCTTGCTGCCTACAGGATGGTTTACGGAGACTGTCTGGAAATGAATACATCTTCACCAAAAGTAAGTTGGCTTTGTTTTCAGCTAGAGTTAACCTTGTGGATATCATATCACCTTTTAGGAGAGAGTTTCTCAAAGTCATTTTATTGTCTTTCAACTTCTAATTTGTGCTTGTGCATCAGTAGACCATTAGCCCTGTCACTCCTGTTCTAACATTCATTTAGATCCCAATTATCTGCCTTTGCTCCATGTTCCTTGATACCAGTGTCCAATTTATTTTCAGCCATTAGGCAGGAAGATCAGGATTTCCACTACCCTTTTGTGTGTGGCAGAAATGTTCAATCTCGTGACCTTACATTAATGTTAAGATTCTCCCTTTTGCTCTCAAGTTCCCGCCAGATGATGTCAGTTTTCAGCATCTGCCCTATTGAATCTCATAAACAAAAGCATCACTGCATTTATCTAGAGCCTTTAATATAGAAAAATGAAATATGACACTCACGTGAGGAGCTATTAGGTCAGATGACCAAAGCTGATTCGAAGAGTAAAATCTCAAGAAGGGTCTTAAAGGAAAAGAGTGAGGAGGAGGGATTTGGGGAGGGAATTCAGAGTTTGAAGTCCAGGTAGATTTTTTTTTCTATTCATTTCGTGGGATGTGGGTGTGGCTGGCTGGCCAGCATTTCTTGCCCATCCCTAGTTGCCCTTGAGAAGGTGGTGGTGAGCTGCCTTCTTGAACTGCTGCATTCCTCCTGCTAAAGGCATGGGCATGATTTGAGTCAGAGTAATGCAGCATGGAAACAGGCCCTTCAGCCTAAACTAGTCCATGCTGACCATGGTGCCCACTCAGCTAGTTCTAATTGCCCGCATTTGGTCCATATCCCCCTCAACCCTTCCCGTCATGTACCTGTGCAAGTGTTTTTTAAATGTTGCTATTGTACCTGCCTCAACCAATTTCTCTAGCAGCCCATTCCATATATGCACCACTCTCTGCATGAAGAAGTTGTCCCTTAGATCCTTCTTAAATCTTTCCCCTCTCACCTTTAAGCCTGTGCCCTCTAGTTTGCAATTCCCCATCCCTGGGGAAGAAAGCAAATGCATTCATTCTATCTATGCCCCTCATGATTTTGTGCACCTCAATAAGGTCACTCTTAATCTCTGACATTCCAAGGAGTAAAGTCCTATCATGACCAACCTCTCCCTTTAACTCTGGCCTAATAGTCCTGGCAACGTTCTTGTAAATCATCTTTGCACACTTTCCAATTTAATTATGCCTTTCCTGTAACAGGGTGACCAAAACTGTACACCATACTCCAAGTGCAGCCTCACCAACAACTTGTACAACTATAACATAATGTCCCAACTCCTATGCTCAGTGCCTCGACTGATGAAGGCCAGCGTGCTAAATGCCTTCTTCACCACCCTGTTTACCAGTGATGCCGCTTTCAATGAACTAAGTACTTGTACTCCTAGGTCCCTCTGTCCTGCAACACTCTTCGGGACCTTAAGTCCTATCTTGATTTGACTTTCCAAAGTGCAACACATCACACTTATCTGTATTGAATTGCATTTGTCAATCCTCAGCCCACTTCCCCATCTGATCAAGATCCCTCTGTAATTTTTGATAACTTTCCTCACTATCAATGTTACCTCCTAATTTTGTATCATCTGCAAACTTGTTAATCACGCCTTGTACGTTCACACCCAGATCATTTATGTAAATAACAAAAAACAAAGGTCCCAGCACTGACCCATGTGGCACACCACTTGTCACAAGCCTCCAGTCCGAGAAACAACCTTCAACCATCACCCTCTCCTTCCTACCATCGAGCCAATTTGAATCCAATTAGCTAGCTCTCCCTGGATCCTACGTGACCTAACCTTCATGACGAGTCTCCTGTGCTGGACCTTGTCAAAGACCTTAATAAAGTCCATAAAGACAACATCCACTGTCCTACCCTCATCTATCCTCTTGGCTACCTCTTCGAAAAACTAAAAGATTAGTCAAACGTGACTTCCTGCCCACATATCCATGCTGACTATTCCCTAATCAGACCTTGACTATCCACATGTTGGTTGATCTTGCCCCTCCGTATCCTCTCCAATAACTTGCCCACCACTAATGTCAGGCTCACTAGCCTGTAGTTCCATGGCCTGTCTTTGATACCTCTCTTAAACAATGGAACAAGATTAGCCACCCTCCAGTCTTCCAGAACTTCAACAGTAGCTAAAGATGAAGCAAAAATCTCTGCAAGGGCCTCTGCAATTTCTTCCCTAGCCTCCCACAACATTCACTTTAAGGCTGAAAACACCTCCGCTCTGATAATATGTTTGCAACCCAAAACATCCCCACTTGTTTCCCCTATTTCCTTAGCATCCATGATTCTTTCCTCAGTAAACACCGAGGAGAAATATTCATCAAAAATCTTCCCCCATCTCCTGTGGCTCCACACATAGATGGCCATGCTGATCTTTAAGGGGACCTATTCTCTCCACCCTTTAACTCTTATTATAGTTGTAGAACCTCTAGGGATTATCTTTAACCTTATCTGCCAGGTCCATCTCATACCTTCTTGTTGCTCTTCTGATTTCCCTCGTAAGTGTGCTCCGACGCTTTTTATAGTCGTCTAGGGATTTACATGAGCCCGATAGCTTAAACCCAATGTATGCCGCCACTCTTTCCTGACCAAAGCCTCAATATCCCTCGTCAGCCAGGGATCGTGAAACCTGCCAGCTTTTCCCTTCATCCTGACAGGGAAATACTGTCTCTGGACTTTTGATATGACACTTTTAAAAGCCTCGCATTTGCCAGTTGTTCCTTTTCCGTCAAACAGACTCACCCAATCAACCGCTGTTGGATCCTACCTAATGGCCCCAAAATTGGCCCTGCTTCAGTTTAGCACTTTTAACCTGTGGACCTGTCCTATCCTTTTCCATAACTATGTTGAAACTGAGTGTTACGGTGACTGGACCCGAAGTGCTTTCCGACTGACACTTCAGTCACTTGCCTGATCTCGTTTCCTAAGATGAGGTCCAGTGTTGCACCCCAGCAGAGGGTAGGGCTCTCTGCATATTGATTCAGGAAACTTTCTTGGACACATTTGACAAGTTCCACCCCATCCGGGCTTTTTACACTCTGGGTGGCCCGATCAATACAAGGGAAATTAAAATCTCCAACCATACTACTGTTATTCTGCAATCTCTCCACACATCTGCTCCACTAGTATTCGCTGGCTATTTGGGGTTCTACAATACAGCCCCAACAGAGTGACTGTCCCCTTGTTTCTAGGTTCTAACCATATAGCCTCATTTGATGACCCCTTAAGATTATCCTCTCTAAGCACAGTTGTTATGTTCTCCCTTATCAAAAGGGCAGCTCCCCCTCCTCGCTTACTTGTACTTCTGTCATGCCTGCAGCTTCTGGTTCCTGGAACATTGAACTGCCAGTCCTGCCCTTCTTTCAACCATGTTTCTGTTATGACTATAATATCCCAGAGCCAATCCATGCTCTGAGCTCATCTGCCTTGCCAGTCAGACCTAATGCTTGAAATAAATGCACTTTAAACCAGAAGCATTTTCCCTTCCTTTAATGTGCCCCTGGCTATCCTGAATAGTAAACTTGCTCTTGATGGTTAATGTATTTTCCCCTGACTTTTCGATGGCCCCTTCCTTATTCAGAGCCCATATCCCACCAAACTAGTTTAAACCTTCCTGGTTAACACTGGCAAATCTCCCCACAAGGATATTGGACCTCCTCCGGTTCAAGTGCAACCCATCCCTCATGTACAAGTCACCTCTACATCCAGAAGAGATCCCAATGATCCAAGAACTGAAAACCCTGCCCACTACACCAGCTCCTCAGCTATGCATTCATCTGGCCTATCTTTCTATTTCTACCCTCACTGGCGCTTGGCACTGGGATTAATCCAGAGATCACTACCCTTGAGGTCCTGCTTTTTATACTCCTTTCGCAGGATCCCATCCCTTTGCCTACCTGTGTCATTTGTACTGGTGTGCACAATGACCTCTGGCTGTTCACCCTCTCCCTTCAGAATGTTCTGCAGTCGCTCAGAGACTTCCTTGACCCTGGCACCTGGGAGGCAACACACCTTCCTAGTGTCTCTTCAGCAGCCACAGAATCTCCTGTCTGTCCCCCTCACAACTGAGCCTCTTATTGCTCTGTCTGACTGCACACTTTCTCCCTGAGCCTCAGTCAGTCACAGTACCACTGACCTGACCAATACTGCTAGCCCCTGAAAGATGGAACCCCACCTCTTTCCACCACCCCCCCCACGCCAGTACATTGAGTATAGGAGTTGGGAGTTCATGTTGCAGCTGTACAGGACATTGGTTAGGCCACTTGTGGAATACTGCATGCAGTTCTGGTCACCCTGCTATAGGAAGGATGTTGTGAAACTTGAAAGGGTTCAGAAAAGATTTACAAGGACATTTGCCAGGCATTGGAGGCTTTGAGCAATAGGGAGGGGCTGAATAGGCTGGGGCTATTTTCACTGGAGCGACGAAGGCTGAGGGGTGACCTTATAGAGGCTTATAAAATCATGAGGGGCATGGATAGGGTAAAAAGACAAGGTCTTTATCCCGGGGTGGGGGAGTCCAAAACTAGAGGGTATAGGTTTAAGGTGAGAGGGGAAAGATTTAAAAGGGACCAAAGGAGCAACTTTTTAGCACAGAGGGTGCTGTGTGTATGGAATAAGCTGTCAGAGGAAGTGGTGGAGGCTGGTACAATTGCAGCATTTAAAAGGCATCTGAATGGATATATGAATAGGAAGCATTTAGAGGGATGTGGGCCAAATGCTGGCAAATGGGACTAGATTTATTTAGGATATCTGTTTGGCATGGATGAGTTGGACCGAAGGGTCTGTTTCTGTGCTGTACATCTCTGACTTTGACTTTGAGTCTAAAGTCCTTTTCCCTACAGAAGAGTATCTATGTATGCACCTTCTGGCACATGAAAATTTATCACACTTTGAGACCAACTGATGATGGTAAATTGGGGACAGTCCTGATGAAGGGTTTCGGCCCAAAATATTGACTTTCCTGCTCCT